TATCCTTTAATTCTACTTCGCAATTAGTGCAAACTCCTTCTCTTAATACTATTAGCTCTAAGATTAATTCTTGGTATTATGATAGCAGATTTTTAGATAGGATTTAAGTAGAAATAATAAATGAACAGTAAAGTAACTATGATTGCAAAGTATAAACTACATATTCAACCTTAATAAGAGTGCAAGTATTGTCATGTAAGACTCCAGTGACCATTGTTAAATAGAACCCGTCTGCCCTAAAGAATAAGTCAATTCTGCCTTTGATCGTTTTACACAAGTCACATGACCATAAAGCCGTCATAGTAATAGAAAAGTCCTGACCTCGATTCGATGTAGCAAAATCCCAGATGAGACAAGAAAATAAGAAAAGAAAGGAATTAGTAAAAGAAAGTAGGAAAGACTCAAGAGAAGAAGAAGAGACCAGTACTTACCTACAGACGATAAAGCACTCATCTGATCGTTACATGAGGCCGACCTTCGATTAGTGCCAGACTCGCTGATTTAGGAACTCTTATAATCTTTGTGGCTACCATGATGCCGGGAATTGTGATACCGAATCCTATGACCAATCACGTGAAAAATGCATGAAATGCAATAAGTGCAATAAGTTACATTTAGAATTGGAAAAGGTATTTCGAATTCATAAGGGTAGATAAGGAATAAGGGGAGGATATGAGGATAAATTACAGATATTAAATAAATCACTATAAATAGTTTTAATTAGTTTTAAGGTATAATACGTGTAAAGTCACATTTGTGAGCGATAAATTTAGAGTTATAAATAAAGGCCAAATGGCCCTTGAAAGCAGTATGCTTCGTTTGCTTTATTAAACAATAAATTCCAATACCCTACATTGTACTTAATAAATACTAATACTATTTACCTTTACAAACTCTGTAAACTCCTGTAAACGTCGCTGTTCAAACCCTTGACCACATGACTTACCCTATTTGCATTCGTTGAACCAAAGTAACTGAAAGCCTTAACTGCCCACAAGTCAAATCTAATACCCTCTTTCGAAAAGGTTACTTACTGTATGTTACATGAGGTTTAGAATTTTGGAGTGACAGAGTTGCAATCTTCTGATCCCAACATTTTTGGTGATAACTGTGAGATCCGAAAATGATATTCGCTACCCTCCCCCACCTTCCCCTCCTGATTCGAAAAATTGAATTAATAAAAAGAAGACTTAAATAACTAGAAAACCTACCTGACTGAGTGAAAAAATAATATTAGAAGACATCCTGGAAAGAATCTTTGCATCGTTTAGCCCTGCCATCATGAACACAACCCAGCTCAGAGAATTAATTGAAAATATGACCAAGTCTTTCAAGGATGCAGCTAAAGATATTGTGAAAGGAAATGGGTCCGGATAGAGGGAAATGAACCACGTGAAGATTAGAAGCTTCAGTGGTAATGAAGACAAGAACCCAATTGAATGGTTCGATGATTTCGAGCACGCTGCTGAAGCAAATAATTGGACAGATGAACGGAAGCTGAAGATAGCTTCTGGATACCTTAAGGAATTAGCAGCAGAATGGTACAAGAATAATAAAGCTAATATAGATGAATAGAAGAGCGAAGATGATCCGAATAGAAGCTTCTATTACTTATTGGTCACCTTCTTTGCTACCTCAGAAAAACAGCACAAGTGGCATATTCAGTTGAATAGTCTCACCCAACTCAAATTGGAAAAGGTGGACACCTACACCACTAAATTTAAGAAATTGTTGAGCCGTGTAGACCCAACCGACTCCCTACCCGTCCAGTATATTGTACGAATGTTTTTAAGTAGGTTGAAAGGGAAAACAGTAACTTTTGTAGTGTTAACGTTCTCAAACAACCTTAACGAAGCAATCGCGGCTGTCAGGAAAGTTGAAGCCAGTGAATACTATAGTACTCACCTGCACGAAACCCCAGATAAGAAAACAAATTGATAGAGGCATTAGTTAAGCAGGTGCAGCAACTATCAGTCAATTACGTTGTGGCAATCAATCAGCAAGAACGGGATATGTGTGATAAGGAATGGTATAGTAAAGGAACGTATAAGCCCAATAGGGATATCGTCTGTTACCAATGTGGCAAAAAAGGACATATTGCTCAATCTAGTATGTCAGAAAATAAGTATGGGAAACCTAGGGAGGAACGATGACTGGCAGATAATGATCGAAGAGTGAACTACTGCGACTACAAATACGATGGCGATGAGGTGTTCATGGTGGATAAAAGGAGGCAGCAGTCGCAGCCCGATACTGTCGATAAATAACCTAGGCTGCAACCTGAGGCGAATTGGGATAATAGACTTCGACCCCGAATAAAACCCGAACCACTGTTAGTAGACGTAGAAGACCAGCTGGAGCCTATGGAGTTGGACGAGGCCTGGCCGGTCAAGAAATCGAGAAGAAAGAGGGGACCATCCATTGTAGATAGCCTTGTGCCCTACAATATTGCAGAAGATCTATTGAATACAAGGGTGAACACCACCTACAGCCAACTGCTCCAAATTCCGAACCAAAAAAGAAATTTAGCACAAGTACTACATTGACCCTTTGTAGTCCTAGAACCTAGTGAAGTTCGAGTACCCCAGGTAGCCCAAGAACCTCAGGTGGTAAACTTTAGCAACACTCATAAAACGACAGCTACCCATTGTTATGTTAGAATAAGAGGCAACCCTATTCAAGCCGTCTTAGATTCGGGCACTGCAGTAAGTATAATGACGAGAAAGCTTATAGAAAAATTAAGGTTGAAAATAGACAAACCATTGTCCATGATGGTAATCACGGCAACCAGTACAAGAATGTGAGCATTAGGACAAATAGAGAACGTAAAGGTGGCTATCCAAGACACCCTATTACCTAGCACCTTCCAGATCATTGAATCGATGAATGAAACCCTGCTGCTTGGTAACGATTGGTTTCAAAGAGCCCAAGCGCGAATTCACTTCGACGAACAGCGGCTATTTCTTAAGCACGATGCTAAGAAAATTGAGGTATCCATCTCTAGTAACGGCATGAAGAAGCTAGAAGTTCCAGAAGAAAAAGACCAGACTGGTAGTGATAGCGGAGAAGAGTTCGGTGAATACACCTACGAGGACGAAGAACTAGTCGAGGCAGAAGGGTATTATATGGAAGGAGCTATTGAAGAACCTGACGATTTGTTCCATAACCCGTGGGAAGAATCGACAAGCCCGGTGTTGTACTTGATGAATGTAGAAGAAATGCCGACAAAAGATGACAACAAAACCTAAATTATGGTAGAAGAACAGATAAAACAGTTCCTCCAGAACGATAACCTTGATAAAGAAGACAAGGAAAAAGCAGCATCGTTCTTTAAACAGGAGAGGACCCTGTTCACAAGAATATACGAGAACTTGGAGAGACGAACATGATAACCCATCGAATCGAGACCACCGGTGCTAAGCCAATAAAGCAGAGAGCGTATAGGGCAGCACCCAGCAAGCACGAATTCATTAAGAAGGAACTAAAGGAAATGGAAGAAAGGGGGTTAATTAGAAGGTCTAATAGCCCGTGGGTCTCACCCGTAGTCATAGTACCAAAGAAGGGCGATAAGCTACAACTATGTGTTGATTACAGGAAGTTAAATGAAGTTATGAGAAAGGACTCTTACCCGCTACCCCGTATTGACGATCTACTGGAGACCTTTAGTACCACAAAATGGTTTTCCAGTTTAGACTTAAAGAGCAGATATTGGCAAGTGAAAGTAGAAGAAGAAGACAGGGAGAAAATGGCATTCGTAACACAAGGTGGACTTTATGAGTTCAACGTCATGCCATTTGGACTATCGAACACACCCGCCATGTTTCAACGGTTGATAGATTGTATATTAGAGTAGTACATCGGAAAATTCATGACCATTTATATCGACGATATCAACATATACTCACGCATCTTCGACGAACACTTGATATATTTAAAGAAGGTGTTCGATAAGTTAGCTAAGGCTGGATTAAAAATAAACATAGAAAAATGTGAGTTCTGTAAACCCACTATTCACTTTCTGAGGCATATCGTCGGATGGCAGAGGATACAACCCGACAAAGGCAAGATAAAAAAAGTTAAAAACTACCCTGTGCCCAATATTCTGCATTAGTTAAGGGGATTCATTGGCCTTGCGTCGTACTATAGGAAGTTTATTCCTAAATTTGCGGCTATAGCATGACCTCTACACCACCTATTGCAAAAGGACGTTAGCTTTAAATGGGAACCTCAACAGCAACAAGCATTCGAAACATTAAAGATGCACCTAATTACGGCACCTGTTCACAAGTACCACAACTTCAATGACACCTTTTTCTTGTATACCGATGTGTTCGAAACGGGATTAGGAGCCATTTTAGCACAAAAAGATGCTGACGTAAAGAAACACGTGATCTCGTATGCAAGCCGTAGCTTATCTAAAGCCGAACGAAATTATTTGGCATGTGAATCGGAATGCCTGGCAGTTATTTGGGTGGTAGAATATTACTACCATTATTTCGGCTTTAAGCCGTTCGTCATTATAACCGACCACTCAGCACTTAAATGGCTAATGGTACAAAGTTAAAGTGTAAAAGGGCCTATTGGATACTTCATTTACAGCCATACAATTACATGATCTAGCATAGGTCGTGATGTACCTATTGGAATGCAGATGCGTTGTCTCGAATAAATGGAACAGGAGATGACATAGTGGAAATATATATGGCAATAGAGGAAGGCAGTACCGAGGAATTAGTAACGAAAAATGTCAAAGAACAAACAAGCGAAAAACAACCCAACTTACCTAATTTCAAAGAGGTATTCGACTCAAGAGCCCAACCAATCCCCCTATTATCATTTACCAAGTTGGGGATGAAATATCGAAGCAACTTAGAATATTCGGGGCCGAGTAAATCGTACAGCAACACCTATCAAACGTATTACCATCTCACCCGTTTCGAGCATCTTGCGTTGGAAATCTTGGATTGATGGAAGGCTATATATATGGTCGAGTTTCATGGATTTAACCTAATAGCAACAGAACCTAAACAATTATTAGTGTTAAAGGATTGGGTGATTATGGGAGCAAACCAAGAATTAGTTCGAAGGGAATACTAAATGATACCGGCATCACTTAGGATATAGCAAACCGTTGAACCTGAAAGAAATCGAAAAAGAGCAAAACGCCAACAGGAGGGGCAACCGAAAAGTGGTTAATATTGAACCATGTTGCCAAGTGGATGTGTCAAATCATGCATGATCTCCTTAGCGAATGTGGTCGATTAAGGAAACGATATCGCGACCTCTGAGAAGATTATTGATGTGGATCATTGATAAGCGAAAAACAATGACTACATTCAGAAATCGGATCATCTAATTTTAGTAACTCTTCAATTACGTCGACGCCAAATAAGTAGAATAACGGCTAGAAAAGAAAAAGAAAGATCAAATCTGACAATAAATCCAATCCAGTCCAGGTAGTTGGTATCCTGGCATTAGCAAACTCGAAATGAAGACAGACGAATACGATCGATTAAAATGGTACTTGTAAGAAGGATACGTTGACGGCAACTTAGACAAGAGACAAAAGAGACAATTGATTAATTTCAGTAAATCGTTTATACTAAAGAATGGACTACTATACAGAAAAAACAAGAAACTTCAAGACCAACCATTGAAAGTAGTCCAGAAGCACGAAATCGACCCCATCCTGTTATTAATACATGATCACCCCCTTGGTGGGCACTTTGAAGCCAAGACAATGTTTGAAAAAATTCGTGGGACATACTATTGGCCACAAGTGTTCGAGCATATTAGAAGATACGTCCAGTCGTATGAAAATTGTCAAAAGAGGTGAAAAAATAAATATACAAGACCTTTGCAACCTATACCTGTGACAGCACCATTCTACAAAGTGGAGATCG